TGGATACAGGAAGGTCTCATAGGTCTTGGAGGTAAGTTAATTTCATTTGTTGAGCAAATAAAATGAGCTTTTGTGTGGCACGTGTGCACGGAATTACAATTCTAGCTCGCCTGGCTCATATTATGGTGTCTATGGTAGTTCACTCAAAGGCTTCCTTAAATGTTCTGCTCGTTAGCTACTAAGAGAGGCTTTAAAAGGTAGGTCAATTGTTTTCACTTATTATTACGTGACAGTTAACAATGAGGATCGTGGGGATGAACTAAAGCTCGGCGGTACTTGATTGGGCGGGTTTTGCGCCTAAAATGCAAATAATTCATGTATAATTACTTAAGGTTATGTACGCTATGACGAAGAAACAAATAGTGCTGAATAGAATGAAATAACTTGTATTATATAACAAGTCAAATTATTCTCACATTAATTGGGTCTTACTTATAATCAGTGTTGGACATACACATAAATGATGTCATTAATCCCTTTGGGGGTGGGTGGGGGGATGGGACTTCCATATAAACTAAAGCTCGGCGGTACTTGATTGGGCGGGTTTTGCGCCTAAAATGCAAAAAAAAAAAAAAAAAAAATAGAATAGGGGTGCTGGTCTGAAATTTTGTAAAGAACCCCTAAGAAGTACCAGATCATGTGTACTAATAGGATCTGCAGTCAAGTGTCCTTTGATACTCTTGATTATCTGAGTTTGAGTATTTCCAAATTCATCTCATGTACAAACCAAAACATCTTTCCCATGTTTAAGTTGGTGTCCTCTATGGAACTACAAGTGTAGCTGTTGGGCATCCTTTTGATACCATCAAGACAAAGATGCAGGCACAGAGAGGATTTGAAACAGAAGGGATGATCAAATCATTTGTGAAGACAGTTAGAACACAAGGCATTAGAGGGCTTTATAGGTAGGCAAATCATTTATTGACAATTTACAGTCTGTTTAGTTATTAACTACTGATCAGTAAAGGTCCGTATTATATGGCTTGTGTTTGTAGCTGATATAACGCATGCTCTGCCAATTGTAGGGCTTTATTCTCCCGTAATGCCCACGGGCCGATTATGGGTCCGCAAAACCAAAGCAAAAAGCCATATAATAAACAACTTATTAACCTCAGACGTTCAGTCGTTATGGGAAAATCTCAAACCTCAGCCTCGCTATTGCTCGGTCGATATAGTAAGGTCTCGGTTTGAGACTTTCCGATAAAGACCTCACTCTTGGTTAATAAGAAGTTAATAATGCATGGTTCTACATAGCAGAGGCTGAAGCCCTTGATGATATTACTCTTAGGGTTGTTATGTAATGCAGTCTTCCCTCCCATAAGACCCAGTATTTACTAACTTTTTGACATTTTCTTTTTCAGAGGGTGTATTCCGCCTCTTTGGGGATCAGGAATCTACAGGTCTAGTCAGTTTGCTGTATTCGAGGCCTTGTGAGTAGAAACAAAAGTGTAACATCTCCATCTACATAGTAGCACGTGATTATGTACGACTGTTCACTACTACTAGCCTATGGACTACATGTACAATTATAGTGAAGGCATCAATTTGAGCCTAGTAGGCCATCACACCAGCACTTATATTGCAGGGCTGCCGTACATTAACAATAAATTTACTAGTGATATGTAGTACATTGTATACAGTGGTTTTTGCCATGTGTGCATGCTCATTAAAGTATTCTCTTGTGTCCGCCATCTTGAGTTACACGCGTGTGTTCTTCCTCTCCAAAAACATAACATTTCTGGTGACACGGATGCTGCAATATGACCAGCTTAGGGAGGATTGAAGAGTTCGACCCTAAGAATACAAATATCGACCACTACTTGGATCAACTAGA